ACTTCAAAAAGGCTTTTCACACAATTAAGTGCAATATGCAATATGGAAAGTACTTAAAGACAGAAGAAGCCGAGCTCGCAGTACTATATGATGGAAAAAAAAAACGAGTTTTTTCTCACCCAGTTAGAAGTAAAGCAGGATTACCCACTGTCGCTTGTTGTTCCTACTGTGCTAGACAATATCCTACAAGTTGTCTGCTCACAGAGAAAGGGTATAGTACTCAACAGCTAGAAGACTTAGATTATGCGGATGACATATACCTTCTCTGCCATAAGATCAGTGATGTGCAGAGCAAATTAAAACACCTTTAATAACTTGTCAGACATGTTGGTTTAAGAAATAAATAATGACAAAACCAAGTCGGTGAAAATAAATTATACTAGCACAGTCAGTCTAGAACTCATTAACCAACAGCTTCATAACAATAGATGGCGGGACCCAAGAAGATATAGAAAACAGATTGAAGAAAGCAAGAGAGGCGTTCGGCAAACTACGTATTTCGGTTGTAGTTGAAAAAGCGGCCAGATCTTCAGAACAACTAAGCTGAGAATACTTCAGACTTGTGAAAAATCGGTCCTAATGCACGGCAGCGAGACTTGGCTAACATCAAAATCCAAAACTGCAGGTATTTACCAACAGATTTTTCAGAATAATATGCCGAATATTCTGTCTAAATTGTATAAGCTGGAATGAGCTTGGAGTGGAACCTACAAAGTTCGAGGAGACCTGGCCGCTCCAGAAACACCAGGCGTAGATGTGTAAATTCTGAAGTAGAAAAATCGGATTTAACTTGGGGTCAAATTAAGCAAATACCAAAGAATCGAACGAGGTAGAGATGTCAAGTGGAAGCTCTATGCTCCCAAGAAGAGTAAGGAAAAAAAAATTCAAGAGTTGGGAGGTTGCTATCATTCTACTGGCAGTTCGACTTATTAGCCTAATGTTGCCAACGAAATACTGGATCTTATTGACCTTTTTTTATACCTAGAAGGATTTCGGCAAATATTTTTAATTTGAATTCCGATCACTCTACTGCTAACAAACGGAGTTGATCCACTTCAGTTAACGAAACCGGAGGTTGGGTAGGCTTTAAACATGTTGTTATTTGTTCAATTAAATTCTAAAGTGGAGGGGTTTATTAAAAAAGGTAAAATAAACAGAAGAGGGAAAGCTGAAAAAAGCAAAAGGTATAAAATTGAACTATTTACTGATCACTTGGAAGGAATTTTTCAACCAAATTAACTGCATTATGGCTCTATTTATGTTAAAAAAAAATTGCCATGGAAAGAAGTGGTTTGAATCGAATATGGCCCTAGGTTTTGACCTCATTACTGCTGAGATGTTAAAGGAATGCCGAGAAACGCATTGACATTTTTGAAAAAAGAGGTGAATGTAGCAATGTCTCTGAGGTATGTCCCTAGTGCTTTGAAAGTAACGGAAGTTATGATAGGAAAACCGGGGAAACCCTTAAATGAGGCAAAGTTATATAGACCGATTTCTATGCTATCAATGATATCAAAATCATTTAAAAATTCTTGTTAACAAAGCTGATACCGATCAGTTTGATAGAACAATGCAACAATTGACCAAATACGCAGAACAACAAATATTATGGAAAAGGCGTTAGAAAATGAGAAATACGCTCGACAATATTTCAATCAAATAGTTTTATTATTTCCGAATCAAACAGGACGACGAGTACTCTACGCTTAGGGAAATTAGGGCTTGTGTGCCTCAGGGCAATATTCTGGGTTCTATATTATACACGCTTTATACAAGTGATTTTCTATATTCAGAAGGTGTAATTTTGGCTACATTTGAGACGATCGACCAAGAATTTACAGGAAGCAAGTAACAATAAAGTAAATGGACAAAAACATTAAAAACAAAACTAAATGAAAGTAAATGTGTACACGTAAATTTCACAAAGAAAAATTTAATAAACCCATCACAATTGAAATTGAATGGTGTTGTAGGATTAATCCAAAACACAGCGAAACACTCTGGATGTGAAGCTCTGGTGGAAAGAACATGTCAAGAAGAAAAGAAAAGAATTGTAAAAATTGTATTACAAAAAAAATTTATTAATGCCGCAAAACGAAAATTTTCTCCTAATTTGTTTAAGTATTAATATATAATATAAAAGTTACAAGTGAGAAGTTAGAAAATATGTTGTAAAAAGTGACTTGCAAATAAACTTTTTAAACCTTTCATTTACGATATTCAAAATTAAAATTGTCTATAACTCCCCACTTTACGGTCAATACCTTAATAATTTACATTTGGGAAAGGAAGTGAAATATCTACTAACCTACACATAGTTCAAAAATTTCTACTTTTTTGAAAAAATTTTTTATCTATACTTATTGTACTTAAATAAAAAAAGCATTTAATAATTAAATCAAAAATATTGCATATATTCAATTGCATAATTGAATAAACTTAATTAATAATGATAACTTAAACAGGTACTTTCAAATTGTAATTTAAATAATACTATGCCAGTGTAAGAACTTCAAAATAAATAGCATCTTATTTTTCATCAAGTGGCTAAAATTCATTTCGTCAAAAATAAAAAAGAAATTAAAATAAGTAAATTAAAGAAAATAAAAATGATAAAAAATTTGTTTATGAAAAGTTTTCAATGGAATTCCCCACGATTTTTGGTCTTTTTCTCTTGTTCCCTTCAAACCTTCAAAATTCCCTCAAAATTATATATTTCCTCGATTTGGCAACACTACTTTATATTGATATTAACGGTAGTCATATCTGCAAAATTAACATAGTCATGGCTGCAAAATTGTAGTTGTGTGCTTCCTTTTCACTATGTGTAGTATTAAAAATTTTATGCAATATTAAAAAATACATACAAAACTGTAAATTCTGATTATAAAATATATACCTGTACTACACATATTAACTTTGTTTTTATTTTCGTTTTAAATTTATCTTATTTTTTTAATATTCTTTTATTTGTAAAAAATAAGAAAAATTTATAATTAAGTAGTATTAAAAATTTTTCTATAATATATACATATATATATAGAATATTTATTACTTATTACTCAGTAATTCTTATATCTCCATATTGTACGCAATATTGAGATGTTGTACTCAATATTCACTCAATATTGTATGAGAAGCACAGAATAAATAAAAATTTATTTAGTTTATTTTTCAAACTCGCTGGAAAAAGACTTTGTTTCGGAAAATAAGTGTTTAAATTAAATTACTGGATTAAATAATTGTTATTACTTGTTGATAAAATATAAATTTTAGGTAAATTTAAATATAAATTTAGATAAATTGAATTGCAGAATGTTTTTTGTAATATAAAAAATAATTTTCGTTGGTCACTTACGTCTTATTATATTAATTGATTTAAAATTGTGCAACTAACAAGTGTGTTAAAAATTGATATGGTACATTTGATTATAAAAGTATATGAAAATAAATAATAAATAAAAAATTAAGTACAAACTTGTGAATATTAAAGGTAATGATAATCAGATCGTAGGTCGAAAAAATTTTATCGTGTCCTATGAAATGTTTAAATAATTATGTGGATATAATTATTCAAACTTTTTATTTATTTACATACATATAAAAATTTTTTTAATAAACTTTATTACTTTTTTTCAATCGGGATTTTAATTTATGTTATTTTCAATTTTAAAGTATTTATTTTGATCCGCAATATTGTTGTGGATGATTATCTAATTTTAATTATAGGAAAATTAATTAAATGAAACGAGATTTTAACATAAAATTTTCTTGTGAATTTATTTGAATAATATGAAATAAATATGTTTAAAAGTTGTGTGGTAACAGAAAATCGTAAAATATCTTTAGTTAAAATCGTAATTTTAAATAAGAAATAAACAATAATATACTCTCCAAATACGAATATACAAAATTTTTAATTTTTATATAAGTATTCGCAAATATTGAAATTCAAAAAGAATTCAAAAGCAAATAAAATGAGTAAAAAAGGTGCTTTTTTATTAATGTTTCGTTATTATCTTAATTTTTTGTAAATATACGAAAATATTTACCTTTATCAATCACATATTATAAAATTTAATTATTTAATAATTTTTGTAGAATTGATAATTAGTTCAAAACATATTTTCTAATTCTTGGTATTTTAACTATTTAAATAGTGTGTTTATCTTATATTAAAATACAATATAATATCTACATATATGTACAGAATCATAAACATTCACCTAGTTTTCTTTATATAATTAGCGATTATATGAAATTTTAACAATTCAAGATTCTAATGGGTGAAGATTTTTTATTCTGCCATTATAAAAACAAAGCTTAAGAAAACCGTATAATTTTATTCATTATGGAATCGTTTGCTTTTGCAAAATATTATATTCATTTTAAATAAGTTTTTGACAATACTTCTGATATTTTTTTTCTTTTATTAAACAGTAGGCGAGGTATATGTCAACAACATCTTTGGAGTTTTAATGTGTTGGAAACCGTTATATTCATTACAAATCGGATTTTTTCAGATAAAATCTAAGGTTTAATATGAGGCTGATGAAAATCGTATATGTAAACACTATTTGAAATCCCTCTATTCTCATCAGATTTACTGTCAGATTTCTAAAAATAAAACGGCGACAATGGCCTTTTTTGCATTTTACAATTTTTTTTTTGAAAAGCGATTAATCCCCTCTATTATGTATATCGGTATCGGCCGATAAACGATAATTTATCGGCAAAATTTTGTGTTTGTATTACCAACATTGTTTATCGGTAAATTTTATCGGAGTCGGGAAAGCTTTTTTTCCCTGTATAGGAAACGTATTAGCTGGTATTATGAAAACGATAAATTGTCGGGTTTTCCCCGATTTAAAAGCGGGTACAAATTTTTAGACGACAGATTTTTTTTTTTTGTAAAATCTTCATTTTATCAAGGAAACTGGTGTAATTAATTGCTTTTTTAAAATGTAAGCATTTTTTCTAAATTATTTTCTTTCAAAATGTTATTCATATATTTTACTTAGGAGTAAAATCGTAAGATATGATATTCGTATGATATTCCGCCCTTGTGCATGCTTTTTGTTGAAACGAGCTTCCAAAGACGCCTCCTCAGTATTTCTGAAAGGTGTTAGCATATATGGTACCAAGGGATATCCTGAATATCCTACAATCAAACATTTCATTTGTTATTTTTTTATTTTTGCAGAATATGTGTATGTACTCACCCAGAAATTTAAAATCATTTCGTCCACTACGATAATCACTCTCAATTTTAGCTTTTAAAGCTGGCACGTTCCGAATATGTGAATCGTGATAACTTCCTGGGTATTTGGCATTCACATAACGTATGTTCATTACGTGGTCACATACCTAAAATTATTTTTTATTATCAATTTAATTTAGGTAATTATTAAAGTAACTTACTATCAATGCATTTAAACTACAAAATTCTTTTCTGTTGTAGTATAAATGTTTTACTTCTTCCTTTGGACTTATTATTTTTATGTGACTTCCATCTGTACAACCCACAATATTTGGGAAGCCCGTTTTTTCGTAAAAATAAATTTTGGCACGTCGTTCTTCTTTACTGTACTCAAATTTAATCCACTTCGGACATGAACGCCTTTCAACTGCGTTGAACACCTCTTTTAAACAAACTGATACAGTAGGTTGAGCTAAACCTAAATTAAAATCGTTGCCCACGCTCAGTTGATAGCTTCCTTGTGCACAAAATTTTAAAGCACATGCCACCTTTAAAATATTAGGTACAGCGCGTTCAGTTTTTGTTATTTTAAGTTGGTTTTCTACTTCATTCAATAAATCTCGAAAAGCTTCCTTCGATAATCTGAAATTCTGGATAAACCTAAAAAAATGTGTACATATTATATAAATAATAAAATAAAATAGGTACATAAACATACATACATTTTGTCTAAATCCAATGGATTAGTTGAATCTCTTATATGTCGTCTTTGAATAGCTTGCGTTTCTTCACTTACTACCGTTTCTTCACTTTCAAAATATAATGCACGCAACATTTTCCCGATATACATACAGTATATTTTTATTTTACAAATTTAACAGAAAACAATTTGTTTACAACAACTTTTTAGCACATCAAAACCAAATTCAAAATAATTTTTAAAATTTTTTGAAAATAACTTTTGAAAGAAAACAAATGTCATTAGAAAAAAAAACCTTTTTCTCCAATTTACAAAAACAAAAATTTGTATGAAAAAGCTTCTTTTAATCGGTTGAAATATTTTTATCGGTATCGGTTCATAATACAGAAGAAAACTAAAACCGATTAGAACTGCCGATAATATATCGGCCGATACCGATGTTCATAATAGAGGGGAATATTTATTTTTGGTTAGTTTAAATTAAAGTCTGACATCCCTCAGATAATTTCAGTGTTATAACTAAATTTAGTCGTGTATGTTACCGGCGGCTTACACAAAACTGCTATTCTATCAAAATGCCAAAGGAAAAATGGTTCTGTCAATAACCTTCTTGTATTCCAATTTCAATTGAGTAGAACAATTTGATCAAAAGTTTAAATTGATATGATTATAATAAGAATTTACTTTTTAATTCTATGTTTAAGTACGCAATTTAAATATAAAATTACACTATTTTTTTATTAGTAATTTTACCTGGATCTATAAATATTGTAATACAGATTTATTAAAGGAAAGCATGATTTTGTTTTATTATTTCAAAATAAATTGCAAGTATAACAATAACGTGACATGCATAAAAATTTTGCAGTTAAGTTGTTCCACATGCCGTTTATGATTTTATTAAGTTTAGTCAAAATTTATTAAGTTTTCTCTAATTCCAAAATTTAATAAAATTTTCCAAAATAAAACTTAATGAACTAATTTTTACAAAATTTATATGAGGAATTTTGAAATTTCAACCAAATTTAAAAACAAAAAAAGTAAAATAAGCCTAAAAAGAATCATGAAAAGAAAAACAGTTTATATTTTTTTGTATTATTATACATTATTTTGCATGAAAAATCACTGAAGGTTAGAATACAACCTTAAACTTGATAATATAATCAAATTAAATGATTTTAAAGCTCATTTATGTTTTATTTTTTTGTTGATTCTAATTTACATGGAGTACGTCGCATTAATATTGTTGAAGTATTATGAATAAAAAAAAACATAAATATTTGAGCATAAATGATACTCGTAAATGTTTGGAAAAACGACATTAAAACCAAAAGTATTTTGCAGTTTTTAATTTTTATGATTAAATGTTTACCGTCAAAGTATTGCATTTAAAATTTGCATGGATACTTCAAAAGCTTTTCAAGCTTCAGCTCGAAAACAATTCAAATTTTCAAAACTTTTAGAAAACGAGTTTTGATTCAAAAATTTGTAATCTCAAAATTGTAATCTCTTATATATAAATCAAAATATTTACAAAATATATTTTAATTTAAAAACTAAAAATTTAAACTAATTTTAATTTTAGCTTGAATATTTTATGTAGAGAAATCTGAATATATAATTAAGTATAACTTATACATAATAAAAATTAATTAAATTATATATTCAATCCAAAAAAGTATTATTAAAAAGTTGCAAATAGAAGCTATATTGTGTAGCATTATTTGATAAAAAATTGAATAATAATTTATTATCAATCAATTGAATATATAAGCAATTTTTTTAATAAAAGTATTTTACAAACATTCGTAAATAATTTTATAGACGATAGAGATAGACAAGGTATACAAGTCCATATATATAAATTTAATATAAGGTCATCTCAAGATCGTTAATGTTTCGTTTAGAATCTTGAAATTGTAGCGTTAAACTAGAATTTAAATGATAAGAATTGCTTATAAAATTTAACATACATATACTTTTATAAAGCATACTCGTACATATACTTATAAAGCAGTCATATTGGACTATGAGTATATGTTTTGTCATAATATTGTGTTGTTGGAGTAGTCTACGTGTAAACTGTTGTAATATTAAATTTTTTTTGGTTTAATTTATTAATAAAACATACCAAAATTTATGCGTATTTTTGCACGAACTATTTTAATTTTAAACAAAAAAAGTATAACTTATAAAATTGAATTTTTAAATATCTTGAATTGTAACAGACGATTTCTATAATTTTTAAGTATCCGTTGAAATCATATTTAAAGAGATTATTTAAATTTTTTTTTATAATTTTGAATCATTCACACATTTTAAAATTGAACTCAGCAAATTTGTGATGTTTCTATAATTGAGTAGAGTAAAAAAAATATAGGCATTTTTGGTGATTTTATAGTGAAAATATTTTATATTTTGGTTGATAGTCATTTTAATTTTTATTATTTTAACATTTTTGTTTCATGGTAAGAATATTAGTATTAGCGGGTTTTTTTTCAAACTATTAACAGTCGTCTTAGACTTTTTCCTTAAGCTGAAATTTTTCAATAATAATTGATGCATATATCAATTGCATGCCACACACATTTAATAGTGTTTGCTCGAATATTCATTGCAAGAACCTTTTTTGTCATGTTTTTTAGTCTTGACCTTGAACGGCTTGAACTATATTTTTTTTTATGATTCATTATTCGAAAATCCTATTTTGTTTTTAGGACAATGAAAGCTTTTGAATTTTAAAATCTTAATCATAAATTGAGTAAATTTATGACTTGTAAGTATATAAGAAAAAGCTTTAAATTAAAATTTTGGTTTTTTCGATCAAAGTTCAACTTCTTATATAAGTAAAAAAACAAAATTGATTAAAAACAAGTTTCGAAATTTTAAGCATATGTATATTTTATAAGAATTTCTGTGTACGTTTTGAACTAAATTTTTATTGCGGTAAGCATTTGTTTATTTTCAATAAATGATGAGCGAATATACGTTAATGTTTAATACAAATTGTTAGATTTGTATGAATACTTTGTTTACATTCATATAAGTATATGTACATAATTATGCACTTTTCAAAATTTTAAATATTTTACGAGTTTTACATAAAAAATACACCACATAAGTCAATAAACCAACTCTAATTTGCGGTATAAGGTTTTTTGAGTTTGGATTGTTACATGTATGATTCTATGTATGATCCTATGTATGGTTTCGAGGTTATAAGCATTTACTTACATGTAGAAATAGTGCAGTACCTTTTTTTTCAACAGGCTATAGTTCGAAAACGAGTATATCTGCATCCCCCCTCCCAAAAATTTTTTTGCTGGAGATTGATGAAAGAATCATCCCTGTAATTATTTGCCACCTTATGCGAAACACCCTGTATATATTCATATATAATACATATGTATATCGAACACAGTTTGTGCTCAAAAGTATTATTCACTTTGCATATCAATTTTTAAATTTAGTCAAAATCATTTGAATTAATAAATAAAGTTGGGTCAAACCAATGGTTTGTATTGTAGCACTTTTCCCTTCAACAAGTGAAAATTCTGCTTTTAAATACACTCTATGTATAGCTATCACACTGTTAAAATTATTTTCATTCATATACAAAACTATTTCTAGGATTGCATATATTTAGGATGACGCATATATGCAGTCATTGAAATAAAGCAAAAATTAATATAAAAAGGGGTTAACATAATGCTCGATTTTAAGGGTTAATTGTGTCAGTTAAGAAAAATAATTATATTTTTTAATTTCATGGAATTTACCGTTAGCTTTTTGCGTTTATAAAAATTTGGAAAAGCTTGCGGTTTCGGAAATATAAGGTGTCAAAAATTCAAATTTTACGAATTTCAAGAGGTGATAACTTGAGAGGGGGTGGAGATGGAAAAAAATTTTCTTCTAACAAAATGAAGTATTTATTAATATCTAATAGCTCCTAAAATTTCAAACTTCTACAGTCTGGGGTCTAGAAGAAAAATGACATCAAAAATTTGGAAAAAAAGGACTTTAGATAACGGTAAATTTGAACGGCCATTTTGTTTTTCTTAAGTTGAACTATAGTATACCGCGCAAGGGGAAGCAAGCCACTGCTTTTCTGCGTTTGCAAAATTTCAAAAATGCTTATGGTTTCATTGCAACAAATATTTAAAAAAGGCCATTTTTAGGGTTTTGGGGGGGTATAACTTCTAGAGGGGGGGAGATAGGTAAAAATTTTGTTCTACGGAAATAAGTTTCTAGTGAAGATCTATGTACGTATTAAATTTCAGCTTTCTATCTTCAAAGGTGTAGAAGTTTTGTAAACAGACACACGGACAGACGGACGGACGGACGGACGGACGGACGGACGGACGGACGGACGGACGGACGGACGGAGTGAAACTAATAAGCACTTTTTTCAAAAAATTTTTTGGAAAAGTGCTAAAAATTAAGAAATAGTAATACCATAAGACTACATACCATGTACATAATACATAATAATAATTACAATGCACATAATTACATAATATGTGATCTAAATACAACAATTGAATTTGTTTAATTTTTAGAAGCCATTTAATAAATTATTTTGTTTTGGATTGTGAATCCTATAAATAACATAAAGTTAAAGCAAAACATGACGTCAAAATTCATGTAATATAAAAAATTTAACCCTTACTATAGAAAAAAAAATGACAATTTTTTTATAACACACTTTAGTTTTTTTTATTTTTTCCGTAACTATTTTTGGAAACTCAATAGTTGTCTACAAGCATGTGTAAATTAAGTATTATGAGTTATTATAAAAAGAGATAAGCAAAAAGAACAAAAAGTTTTATCTCAAGGATTTTTTTATATAGTTTTAGTTATTGTATATAATAGAATGTATTTATGATGAATGTATAAAGTTATTTATGTACTGATTGTATTACTGATAGTATTCTTAAAAATTTTTTTCTAAATTTTAACAATTTAATAATTTCATTAATAAGTGTGTTGGTTTGACACATAAGTAAATCGTTTTTATAAAGTTTTATCATTATATTAATTTTATAATTACAATAAGAATTTCTCTGTTATTAATTTTAAAACTATTGTTGTCCACGTTGGTATATCTTTAAACAGCGCTTAAAATTTTTAGAGTTCAATGTAGGAGCTGATGAGGTTTCAATAAATTTATAAGAAATATTGGCAGAAAAAATCTAAGTTATCTTTTAGTTTTATAAAAAGTTTTCTTGTTAGATTTTTGCTTTTAAAATTTCTTAAAAAGTTGCTTGCATGAGAGCTTTCATCTCCTTATTTATATTATTTTTGTTTTGAAAGAAAATCAAGTCACAAAACATCACAACTTTTTTATTCATTGTACATCAAACCAGACATAAAAAGGGAAACAAATTTTTTTACTAAAAAACTCTTGATTATTGGTAAAAACCCAATTGATGTTACATCAAAAATGGTAGAACCTTAAAACTATAGAATAAGAGGGATTACATTTTTACCGACAGTATTGTGTATACAATAGGTAGGTTATGTGATGGCAACAAATTTTGCACATCGAGTTTTCGATGGGAATGCACTTCTCCATAGTAGGGAAGTGTAAGTACACTATTTTTAGCAACCTGTCGGTCCGTCGATCTCTCGGTCTGTCGGTCTGTCATTCTGTCGGTCTCTCGGTCTGTCGGTCTGTCGGTCTGTGTGTGCACGCGTGTATCGCAAGTTCTGCTGAACCGCTTTTGATGAAATTTTATATGTAAGTTTATTTCCACCAT